AAAATAACAGAAATGGTCCCCATATGTTTGAAGGTAGTTCAAAGTAGTTCCTTAAGTATTAATTACTGAACAATTTTGATTTTTAAAGTTTGTCACTTGGCCAGCGTTTGGCCATAGATTTCCAAATATTATTGACAAATATTATTTTGGTGAAATTTCACCATGTGTTTGGCCATAATATTTGAAAAACATATTTCATTTTTTTAGAAAAATATGATTTATACCATAAGTTTTAAAAACTATCAAAACTAACCATACATTTGTATTACAAGTCAATTGGCTCTTCGTTGCAACAAATAAAAAGTAGTGTCCATGACACTGGAGCAATGTGGTAGTTTGGAGTAAGTGCAACAAGCATCATTCCATACATTGTGAAGTAGACAAAACACATGACTTTGTTACCCTGAGCCGATTGTTCATCATTTTCATCAACAATCATATCATCACTTTCATATTCATCGAATATTTCATTACTATTTTGGTGTTCACGTAAAAAATTATGTAATGCAATGCAAACAACTACTATAGAGGGTGTTTTTGTAAAAGATAAAAGTTTGGTGTAAAATTTCAATTTTTAAAAGATCCCAAATAATGAGATTTGGCCCAAATACTAGAAAAAACTAGTACTCCCTCCGTTTAAAAAAAAATGGTCTAGTTTGACTTGGCACGAAGTTTAAGAAAATTAAAAAGACTTTTGAATCTTGTGATCCTAATTTAAAGTTTTGTAAAATGTACAAAATTGTCATTTAATCTTGTGGTCTTAAACATGTCACGTAGAAAGCTGAAATTAAAATGCTACCAAAAAAAAAGAGGTCATTCTTTTTAAACTGACCAAAAAGGAAAGGATGTCATTCTTTTTTAAACGGAGGGAGTATTTGGGAATTTGGGATATTTGCCAAAAATATTTGTCAAATAATGGCAAATTATATGGATAAACACTATTTGCCAAATTTCCCCCAAATATTATTTGAGAAATCTATGGCCAAACGGGTCTTGCCATCATTTATTTAGCAATGGTTTAAGTCATCGACAGACACTTAAAGTTGTCTGCATAATTCACTTAGACACCTAAATTCAGGCTTGTACCTATTGAACACCTCTACCTCTTTGAATTTGAACCATTTGAACATTTTTTGGATCATTAGCTAAAAGTATAAAATGAGTGAAATACACTCGCGATGACGTGGCAATTTGACAAATTAAATAATGACATGTGTTATTTGAATTTAAAAAAAATATTTTAAAATGTATTATAATGTGAAGGAAAAAGAAAATCACTTACTATTAAAAAAAATTTGTAATCCCAACCGACTGACCCACCACCCAAACCCTTCCCCTGCTATTCCACCACTATATCGCTGTCCATTCCAACTCTTTAACATTGTTTAAAAACTCCGACGACCGTGAAATCTCCAATAATTTTAAGCATGAATGCTTCAAACTGTACTTCACATATTAACATGAAAAGAGGATATAGCTTTCTTATTGCCCTATCCTTTTAGATTATTATTTTTCTGCATTAATTGAAAAAAAAGAGAGTAAATTAGAGAATTTTACTTCGAAAAAAGCATCAATGGCAGACGAGAGCTCGGAAGAAGAAGGGTTAGGGCTAAAAAAGGTTTGTAACAATTCTGTGGAATTTCATCATCTCCGTCGTCGTCAATGTCGTACTGGGGTTCTTATTCTTGTTCTTCTTTCTCCGGCGAGGAGTAGCCTTGTATGAGTGAAAAACTCATCGTCACCAACCGACAGGATTCGAATAAGCCTTCGAGTTTCTTTTGCCCCGCCATAAGTTTTTCAAAGTAAGATTAAGTTATAAATTTGTAAGTTTGTTTGCTTCCATAAATCAACAATATGACAAAGATTTAAAAAAAAAAAGGAAATAAAATTTGAATCGATTCTATATTTGAAGAAAAAAAAAGCGAACAAGCAGTGGCGTTAATGGAAGAGGTGCCAAACAGGAAGAAATGGATATAATGACGGTGATAATGAAAAATATGAAAAACTACAATGATAATGATGGTTGGATAAAAAGCAAAGAAGAGGAAGAAGAAAGTTACTGGTGCGAGATTGCGGTGGCGACGGTGGTTGCTGCTTGGTGGTAAGGTGGAGGAGTAATGGCAGCAATCACAAGGAAGAAGAAAGGGATTTTTTATTTTAAAAAGTCTAATTAGTTGCTTTCACGCGCTCTTTGTCCGTGCATTACACTTAAAATGCCATGTAGGCAAAAAATGTTTAATTGATTCAAATTTGAAAGGGTAGAGGTGTTCAATAAGTATAAGCTTCAGTTTAAGTGTCTAAGTGAATTATGCGGACAACTTTAAGTGTCTGTCGATGACTTAAGCCTTTAGCAATTTATATTCATTAAATTTGATGAAAACAATAGAAAAAAAAATTTAATCATAAACATCAAGATAGTCTCGTCAAATCCTGAAACATTTATCCAGGTTAGGTTTTTAAATTGTTTTTATACTTGTACTTAGAGAAAATAACAAAAATATTCCCCTTATGTTTAAAAGCAGTGCCCTTAAATATGTACAAAACAATTTTGATCAATTAAGTTTGTTAAAAAATATTATTTTTAGTCTTTATCAAATATTTAACAGTTTATGCTCGTTAAATATGATGAAAACAATTGAGATAAAAAGTTTTAATCATAAACACTAAGAAGTTCATCAAATCCTAAAATATATCATCTAAAAAATGGCATTAGATACTAAACAAATATTTTTTTTAAATAAGAATTACACCAAACTTTAGAAATAAATTTAATTTAAAATAGCAAAAACTACAAATTGTGCCTCTAAATGTGAGTTTCAACTAAAAAAAAATTCAAACATAAGGGATTATTTTTGACATTTTCTACAATATATAACACAGACAAAATTAACTATAAATAAAAAAAAATAATATGCAAAACCTTTTTTCCTTTTTTTTTCTTTTAAAAAAATTATGATCACGGTAATCACGTAGCTTCACAAGGCAAAATCTTGGAACAAGAACAAAAAAACAAATTTCACCAAGTCACGGGAAGTTCCACTTGTTTCTGCCAAAATGATGACTTTCATATCCTTTTTTAGTTATGTCGATTTTAATTATTTATATATAAAATAATGCATAAATTTACCTTTAAATTATACCTATTTTAGTGATGTAAGATTGTAAATTAGTAATCAAATATTATACTAATTTACTAAATTTTATGCATATCAATTAAAATACTACCATATAATTTACTTAATTTTATTCGTATCGATTAAAATATTATCAAATATTATATTAATTGTGCAATTTTAATATATAAATAATTTATTTCTTAACGGACAATAGGATAATTGAAGCAGAATGTTCTAACTTTATCATCATTTTGAGTCTATAAGGAGAGAGTGAATTGATCAAAAGTTATGTGATCAAGGTTAACAACATGTTCTGATGTCAAAAATTTACAGTTAATATGTCATTAAGTAGGTAATGGAAATTATTTTTTGAGAATAATAATCATGAAATCTAACTTGACAAAATTAAATGACTTTTGAAAGATAAAACAAAGTCGCGTAATCATTCAATCTTCTAACTCTAACAACATCGAAAATCGAGTAAATAATGTGATACTATAACATATCGAATTACACTACTAATTTATTTTTAAAAAATCACATTTCAATATATATTACTCATTTAAGTGGAGCATATTAGCTCAAAGACAAACAGAAATGACAATAATATGCAAGTAACATTTATGGTTTCAAGTCACATAACACTACCAAACACCTAATTTTACCAATTATAACCAATTGTCTTCGAACATTGTGGCGTCATGTCTGGACATTAAAGTTGTAATAAAGATTACATGTCACCATAGTCGCAAATACTAGACATGCATTCATAATCAATTGGGAAAAACACACAAAAATTTGGCATCTCCTCCACTCTAATTACAATTTACAAGTACTAGTAAGTCGTTAGAAGGTAGAGTCGGATTTAGAAATTTTAAAACATGAATACATCATTAAATATAGGGAAAAAGAACAAATATACCTTCGAACTGTCGTAAATGGTATGCAGATACCCTCCGACATACTTTTGGGACATTGGTACCCCTGCCGTCCAAAAACTAGAGCACATATACCCTTTATACTAACAAATATACACGTGTCATAATCTTATCCATCAACCCGAATTTATTAAATATCGGATCAAAGGATAAAATTGCTCCACGTGTCCCTATTTAACCTTCTGTTAGAGTGAAGGACATATATGCTCTAGTTTTTTTATGACAAGGGCACCAATGTTCCAAAAGTATGACGAAGAATATCTGCATATCATTTACGACAATTCGGAGATATATTTATCTTTTACCTTTAAATATAAAAGAAAAAAGTAAGTGTTGAATGAAAAATCAATCTCTCTTATATTGTTCATTCTTTTAAAGCACAAGAGCCAACAAACAATACATTAGATTATTAATAATACTAAAAAAATATCAATAAATTCACGTGCAACACAAATTGAATAGTGAATTGGTCCTCAATGACCACTAGAAACTAGAAACGAACACCTATTTTCTTTGTTTTGTGCCGATTTGTCAACAAATTTGAAGCATCAACGGAAAGAAGGGAATGTAGGTGTTGCCGTGTTGCACTTGCCAACGGAATAAAAAACATTATTATTATATAATAATAATAATAATACTTAATATATTTTATGTTGTATAATTTTCAGAAGCCTTCCTACTTTATAATTTTAAATTAAAAATATATCAAAATACTATTTAATCTCATCTCATGATCTTAAAAAAAACGAACAAAATGAGATAATAGTAACAAAAAGTGCAGAGCATTGGAAACGGTGTCACTATACCGTAGCACAATACAACGGTTCTTCAAACTCGCAAGTAGAAACACACTTGTTTTAAAGTCAAAAGTTCACACACATTATATCCTCTATTTATACTCCCAATATATCACTACTACTCTCATCCACAGTTTCAACTCTCTACAATGGAAGTGAAACTCATTTCAATTCTCTTCTTCTTCACCATTTTTGTTGCAGCTCATTCTCTTCAGTATCAAAAACTTACCCTAAATTCCCTCCCTCAACTTCAATCCCTCTCATGGGAACCACAACTCTCTTCTGATAACGAAAACACTCTTTCTGTACAATTACACCATGTCGACTTACTCTCACCTTCCTCCTTCAATGCAACTCCACATGCATTGTTCAAACTCCGTCTCCAACGCGATGCTATTAGAGCTAAATCCCTTTCCCTTCTTTCTGCTTCCGCTGCTAATTCCACCGGTAAGGATTTCAGCAGCTCTGTTATCTCCGGTCTATCTCAGGGTAGCGGCGAGTATTTTACTCGTATTGGAATCGGTACGCCTACTAAGTACGTTTACTTAGTTCTCGATACTGGAAGTGACATTGTTTGGATCCAATGTTTGCCTTGTGCTAAATGTTACTCTCAATCCGACCCGGTTTTTGACCCGAGTAAGTCATCTTCCTTCTCTCCGGTCACTTGTGATTCTCCGTTGTGCCGCCGGCTTGATTCCTCCGGCTGTAACAATCGGAACAAATGCCTTTACCAAGTCTCATACGGCGATGGTTCGTTTACCGTCGGCGAATACTCGACGGAAACTTTGAATTTCAGAAAAACAACTGTTACCAATATTTCCTTTGGATGTGGCCATGATAACGAAGGTTTGTTTATCGGAGCTGCCGGTTTATTGGGTTTAGGAAAAGGGAAACTCTCGTTTCCGGGTCAAGCCGGTAGCCGGTTCGGTCAGAAATTCTCATACTGCCTTGTAGACCGGATCGGTTCAGCTAAACCGTCCTATATTGTCTTCGGCGAATCAGCAATTACCCGAAATACCATTTTTACCCCTCTCCTCACCAATCCAAAACTCGACACGTTTTACTACGTGGAGCTCACCGGAATTAGCGTCGGAGGTACGAAGGTTCCGGCGGTCACGCCGGAGTTGTTCAAGCTTGATACTGAAGGTAACGGTGGGGTTATAGTCGATTCGGGTACTTCAGTGACCCGGTTGACCCGACCCGGTTATATAGCAGTGAGGGATGCTTTCAGATTAGGTGCTAAGGATTTGAAGAGAGCACCGAATTTCTCTTTGTTCGATACATGCTATGATCTGTCGGGTAAAACACAAGCGAAGGTACCGACGTTGGTTTTGCACTTTGCCGGAGCGGACGTGGCATTACCGGCGGCGAATTATATGATTCCGGTGAACGGTGAAGGGAGATACTGCTTTGGATTTGCGGGTACAAATGGCGGGTTGTCAATAATTGGGAATATCCAGCAGCAGGGTTTTCGGGTCGTGTTTGATCTTGCGGGTTCTCGATTAGGGTTTGCTCCTCGTGGGTGTTCTTATTAATTAAAAAAATTAAGTTAAACAGTTTGTTTAGTAATGAATCTCTGGAAAGGCAGAGATAATATTAGCACTTTTGCAGAAAAAGAGGAACAGCTTCACATGTTTTTGTTTTGCATTATGTGCTAATCATGGTGTCTTTTTGCTAATTTTTGTTTTTAACAAAAAGATAATTAGAAAAAAGGTTTAATTAAAAGGTGCTCCTAAATGACACAATTCACTTTGGCATAATCTGTCACGACTTATGTAAAAAGTTGAGTACTTTTCGAGTGAATTATTGGGTATGATATATTCTTAAGAAAAATATAAATTAAAAGTTATTACTTTTAAAAATAATAATAATTCAAACTACATGAAAAATATATCTCGAACTATAACAATTCCCTTTAATGTTATATTAGAATAGAAGAAGTACATTCTTATCGTAAATTTGACTCCAAACAGTTTATTTTTTTCTCCAAAAAGTTTCCTACAAGATACAATCATTATTACATTTAAGCATGTTTGAATATTTTCATGATTTCAACCTCTCAAACTTTTCACTTCTCTTGTTTATGAATATACTAATTTGTCAAAGTTTTTCATTTTTTCAATATATGAATTTATTATTTTTTTCATATAAATAAGTCCGGCGTTTTTCTTGTAATTGAATTTAATAATCAAAATATCAATAGAACGTAATTAAATTTAATAAAAAATTATACAACTAATTTTGATAAATTGATATAAGTTGGATCACATCATTATGTGCTAATGATGGTGTCTTTTTGCTAAAAAAAAATTAACAAAAAGATCATTAAAAAAAGTGGTTAATTAAAATGGGTGTTGCTAAATGACACAGTTTACTATTTCTCTTTGGCATAACCTGTCACGATTAATGTAAAAAGTTTAATCCTTCTCGAGTCTATATTAAGTATATTGTTGTGAATTATTAGAGGTGCGACATATTCTTTAAAAAAAGTACTTTAATAATTAAAAAAGTATTTAAAGACATAACGAAAGGTACTTTTCAGTATTACTCTTTTTATTATTCCCAAACTATTTTTAAAAAAATGTATGATAACGAAAAAGTTCATTAAATATAGGGCAAACTTGAAAAAATATGCCAATAATTTTCTTCTATAAGCAATTCACTTAAAACAGTTTATATTTTTTCTCCAAAATGTTTCCTACAAGACATGATCATTATTACATTTAAGCATGTTTCAATATTTTCATGATTTCAACCCCTCAAACTATAAACATAATTTTCATGATTTCTACACCTCAAACCTTTCACTTTTCTTGTTTATCAATTTACTAATTTATCAAAGTTTTTCATTTCTTTCAATGTATGAATTTATTAATTTTGTTAATAAACAAGTCCGACATTTTCCATTTGAATTTAATAATCAAAATAGCAATAGTATGTTACTATTCCCTCCATTTCATATTAACTGAATTTGTGCTACAATGCATACATATTAAGAAAAACATTTAACCACATAATATAAATTATAATTTTCACTATTGCCCTTTGTGAAATCATAAATATAACTTTGTAAGTAGTGTAGTTTATCTCCTACAAAATATAAAATTTTAATAAATGAAAAGGCAAATATGAAAAAAAATTAAACATCCATCTTAAACTTTGAACAATTCAATTATTTTGAACAATAAAAAAAGTTTTAAAAATTCAATTAATATGAAATAGAGGAAATACATTAAGGCGGTGGTCAATTTGTTAGAATAGCCATATTCACAAATGACTCATAAACATGGTAGATAATATTTTTTTAAGGGTATAGGGTCAAATATTCCCCTAAACTATTCGAAAAGGTCTAGATATACCCTCCGTTTAAAGTTTGGCTCACTCATGCCCTCGCCGTCCAACTTTTGGTCTAAATATGCCCTTATGGGCGTTAGTTGGCTTGCTAGACATATCCAACTCATTTTTCATTTTTTTAAATGCCACATGGAATTGCTATGTCATTGACTTTACCACATGACATTTATATGAAAATGGAAAGGGATCAATTATACACCTAAAAAATTCGAACCCATAAACACCTAATCCGACCCATAAATCAACCCCCCCTTTTAAATAAACTACCCGATCCGTTTTCAACAATTTTGTTTAAAATTTTATTTTTTTCGGTAAACCCCGAAAATTAGTAATTGATTAATAAAAAATAGGAAAAATATGAAAAAAATATATAAAATTAATGCCAAAAATTCACAAATAAATATTGTAACCTTAAATTCAACAATTTCAACAATTTTTTAAATTTTTATTTTTTTCGGTAAATCCCAAAAATGAGTAATTGATTAATAAAAAATATGAAAAAAATATAAAATTAACGCCAAAAAATCACAAATAAATATAGTAACCTTAAATTCAAAAATTTCAACAATTTTTAATTTTTTTTTTTTTAATAAATTACTCATTTTCGAAATTTGCCGAAAAAATAAAAAAAAAATTGTTGAAATTTTTGAATTCAAGGTTACTATATTTGTTTGTGATTTTTTGGCGTTAATTTTATATTTTTTTCATATTTTTTATTAATCAATTACTCATTTTCGGGATTTACCGAAAAAAAATAAAAAATTTAAAAAATTGTTGAAATTGTTGAATTTAAGGTTACAATATTTATTTGTGAATTTTTGGCATTAATTTTATATTTTTTTCATATTTTTCCTATTTTTTATTAATCAATTACTAATTTTGGGATTTATCGAAAAAAATAAAAATTTAAACAAAATTGTTGAAAACGGGTCAGGTAGTTTATTTAAAAAGGGGGTTGATTTATGGCTCATGTTTATGGGCTCGAATTTTTAGGGGCATAATTGATCCCTTTCCATTTTCATATAAATGTCATGTGGTAAAGTCAAAATGACATGGTAATTCCATGTGACATTTAAAGAAATGAAAAATGAGGTGGATATGTCCAGTAGACCAACTAACGCCAATAAGGGCATAGTTAGACCAAAAGTTGGACAGTGAAGACATGAGTGAGCCAAACTTTAAACGGAGAGTATATCTAGATCTTTTCGAATAGTTTAGGGGCATATTTGACCCTTTACCCTTTTTTTAATTACGAAAGTTCTCTATGAAATAATTTTGAAACTAACCATTGAGTACATATTTATACAAATGACGTCAAACAAAAATATTAAAATCTATAAATAAATAAATAAAATTTTAAAATATATAAAAATATTAAGAATTTTTTTCCAACATATGAAATAACCTTGAAACTAATAATCTAGTACATATTTTTATAACTAGTAACATAAAAATATTAAAATCTAAAAAATATACATAAAATTATATAAATAACGTAAAATACAGAAAAGAAGTGAAAATAAATATACAAAAGTTGAGAAAAATGCAAGAACATGCTTATCGTGGATCAAACCTTCGGGGTAAAAACTTACCCGCACATGACATGCATATACTGAATTGATGTATACACCACGTACGATTCCGTCAGGGTCAAGAAATCCACTTGTGCCTTTGAACCCTTGCAACATTTTGGAGTCCAAACAAACATTGTTCGTCGGTCATTATGCTGCTTGCAAATACAAAATCAACGAAGGATTAGTATTATTTAGGAATAATCACTATTACTAAGGTCCCAACTCCCATGTGGACGTCCAATAGTTTAGCCTTAAAATTATTTATTGAATAAATTAGTTAAATTTCCTTAAATGAGGTGTAAAGTAACGTAATTAATCTCTTAATAATGTGAGTGAAATAGTAAACCATTACTAGTCCTATAATTAGCTTCTATTCACACACAGAAGATTGAACATGTATTCTGCAAGTTGCCTTGTTTAATGATTTTATATATGACGTGTAATTCTCCTCAGATGTTGGTGATATTTTTCAATAAGTTCTTTTCCAAATAATTTTGAGATTGTTTAGATGAAATTTGACTTGGTCGAAATTGAAAGATATCAATTCGTTAAGAAAAATGAATTGTTGCAATGTATAATTATTATATAAATAGTATATATACCTATGCAATTATTTTTGTTGATTTTTTTTTTTAAAAAAAATGCAAAATGTCAGCTCATAAAATTAACTCACCATTATTTTAGTTCAATTTAATTCTCTTTTTTAATTTACCAAAAATGGTCATTCGACCCTAATTTTTCCAAAAATAATGCCTTGCGTCTTCCTCTTGTTTTTTTTTTCTTCTGCTGCTACGTACTTCCTTCTTCTTCATCTTCTTCTGTTGCTTTTGGTTCCTCATCCTTCTTCATCTTTTGCCTTAAAATTCGACGTATCGTAGAATTGTTTAGAATGAATTATATATCAAAAGACTTGAAATATCGAGAAGATTTCATATCTAAAATTTGGGACTGCTTAGAGGTGATTTTGAGTTGATCGAGACTGAATAGCTAGTGTATACTTCATGTATAATTAAACTATATGCAGCTTTTTGAGTGTATCATAATGTGTATAGCTCATGTATAAATAAACTATATTGCATAGTCCGTGTATATTTTTGATGACTTTTGGCAAGCTATATAGTCAATGTATACTTTTTATGCCTTTGACTATTTTTTATATAAATAAAATATGACTATATTTGTGGTAAACTAAAAACTTTATTGTATATATCTATTTAAAACTAACCCTTTTTTTCCCCGTCAAATTCCCATGTACAATTACCTAAGAAGCCCATTTAGATATATAAGACTAGTTTGGGCCTGAAATTGGCAAACTACAATTGCGATGGGAAGATATGATATTTTATGGATAGAGGTGTAGATGAAAAGATTTGAGGGAGTTGTGGAAACATAAAATTCAAGATTCATGACATAGACTTAAGTCTCCTCTTTTCAATGCAATAATAAATGCTTACACTTGGTTAAGTTTTGTTCTTATTCATCGATATGAGTTGAGGTGCAGTGGTTGAGACTGGTTTATCCTTAATTAGAGGTCTCAATTTCGAGCTCTGGGCATGAAAAAAATCCTATTGGAAGCGGCATCCCAAATGGGCCTTGCAATGAACATCCGAATTTAATAAAGATTTTAATGTGGTCTCCGAATATCGAATAGAAAATAAAAAAAAAGTCTTGTTCTTAGTCCATTTTATTAATAAAGCATTTCTTTACTTTCTCAGATCTTCATATTTGAATTCAATTTACATACACAAATAATTGTTTATCCTTAAAACAATATGGTTAAATAACCGCATCCACCATGTAGTTATTTTTATGGACATGTTTTCTAGCCATAAAAAATAATTGCATTTATCATTTTTTTAAGATAACAAAACAAAGAAACAAATAATTATTCAAATATTTTAAATTGAATAGCTTGAATTTTTTTCACCTTTAAATACACAGAACTTCAAAATTTATGATCGAGATTTCTTAAAGTCCTCGATTTCATTTTATAATATTCTTCGCATTTATATATATCGGTTCAATTGAGTATATAGACCTTACAGATTGTTGAGATATGACTATCAATTTGCAAAGGTCAAAACATTATATCAGGAAAAGAAGATAACAATAATAGATGAATGAGAGAATGCGAAGTAAATAACAACACAAATTTATTATTGAAAAAATCATTCACTTTGTATTAAACTAGACATGATAAAACATTTATATTTTAGACGTGACATAACATTTAAAAACGTTAGTTTGAAGGGTACAAATGACAAATTTCCTAACAGCGGGAGGTATGAATGACCACATAGTATAACAAAGGGTAAACTAGCCGTTAAACGAAAGTTAAAGAGTATTTTTGATCCATCTCCCTAAAATTATATCTTGGTTTTCTAAAAAAGCAACTATTTAAAATCATCTATTTTTAATAAGTACAAGTGACACAAAGTATCATGTTTGAGTAATTTACTTCCAAGTGATTTTTCCTTTTTGTTTGTTTGTTTTTTCTGTTTGGGCGATCATTATTTTTCCTATTGACAAGTCCTAATCTTAGAATTTGAAAACTGAATTCTATTAAGTTTTGAAATTTCAAATACAACAATTTTTCTTTGTCTATTTATTTTGATAGGGACAAGATAAAATATTTTAAAATTTAAATTTGAAATATTGTCCACTACTACAATATGAAAACGAAAGGACTCCTCAGTTTCCAATTAGTTTCCTGTGATAAAGGGCACTGTTCAGAAATAAATTTGTTTCATTTAGATAAATTTTTTAAAAGATATAATTTTTATTATTTATTATAAATTTCATGTGCTGAAAAATTTCTATCGTCAGTAAATAAAATTAACATTTAATAAATAATAAGCTGAGCTCAAAATTTCAAATGTGTAATAAATTTCAGTATTATGAATTTAAAGGTTGAATTGATTAAGTTTATATTAAAATCTATATATGTCTCGCTTTATTTTCAAGAACCTATGTGTAGTTTTTATATTGAAATATTAAAACAACGTACGGCTAAATGACAAACAGCATGCATGAAGCATGATTTTTTTTTCTTTTATTATTTAAAAAAAACTGTTTTTAGAAACAGAACATTGAATCTAAGCATGTAATGAAAATACAAGTAGGAAATGAAAAAATAAATTGAAAACATGAGAATAATTATTTAACATGAATTGTGATAGAACAATTGAGATTTTTTTACTTTTAATTAGAGATTTCGAATTCAAGCCTTTTAAAATAGAAAAAATCATATTAAAAGTTTCGTCCACAAAAATAGACTGCAATGTGCAAATCAAACTTTAGTCGAACTCTAATATAATATCGAACATGAAATAAGAAACTTTTTTTTTATAAAAAAAGAAGTATATTTTAATGAAAAAGTCAAACTCTAACAAAATGAATTGAACTGAAGAAAAGCAGGATAACAAATACTCCCTCCGTTATCTTTAATTGTCCTCTTATTTTGGGATATCCAATAATATTTGTTCAGTTTATAAAATCAATAATTTATCATTTTCTGTCTATTTTATCCTTGCTATTAAGTACTATTTAATTTTTCAGCATTGAGATGATATAAATTTAATAGGGATGAGCTGGTAAAATTACCCCAATCATTTACTACTTCTTAATTCTTATGTCAAGTTAATAGTGAACAATTATTATTGAACAGAGGGAATAACTAACCATGTAAATGCTGTTATTTACTTCTATCTATTCTATTCATATTATTTAGAAGTAAAATAAAATTGAGGTTCGGGGATTATAAGGTGAAAAATTGAGCCTTTCACCAATAATATAAAAATTCCGATAGAATTAACTAATTAATCGAGCTACTAAAATTTCTCTAATTCTATATGTTTAGTTTTTTAACAAAAAAAATTAACAGTTGTAAGTTGTAATTTCTCCAACAGATTGTAACCAAATTTGGCTCCAAGAAAAGTCAATCAATCCCTAAGGTTTTGATAATTTTACCAAAACTATACCCTCATTAGTTCCATTTTATATAAATTTGTTTTACTAGACAAAAAAATTTAAAAATTAATAGAGATAATTATGTATAAGTCAAAAAATATATGTACAATATTAACAATATCATTCATCGGCAAAGTTACGTGACTGTCAAGATGTCCAATTGGACATCCTTCGTTGGAAAAAATATTATATATATAAGTAAATTGATACGTAAAGTGATTAAATAACATATATTGAAAATCTTTGACACAATAGAATATTGTACCTCAATGGTTTCAGATGTCTTGAATGAGTTAGTGCTTGTGTTTGAATCTCATTAGCAACAATTTTTTTCCCTTTTTAAAAAGACTTTTTATTGTGCAATTTCTGGATATCTTTTATGAAATTTCAAAAGTGATGAAAGTTTCACCTAATAAGCATAGTAAAATTAAAAAACTTAAATAGTTACCCCTAAAAGAAATTAAATAGTTACTAAAATGACCCATATTAAAAGAAAAAGTGTGTCAAGAACAAAAATAAAATGACACCAAAATAGAATAAGGGTGTGTTTGGTATGAGGAAAAAAAATATTTTCCTAATTAATAAAAAGGATACCATCACAAAAATATTTACTCCTATTTAATTAGGAAACTAAAATAGGGGGTGTGTGTGGCTATAGATAGGCACTAGGCAGGGCAGATTTAGTAGTGCTAAAAAATATTCATCCCAACTTACTCGATAAAACTACTACATAATATATAAGGTATTTTTTTTAATTCTTTAATGTATCCTATATAGAATGTCAAATCCCCTAGAAATAAAATCAGAGATTGACTCATTGATTAAATGTTTGAAACTCAGATATTAAATCTTTTTTTTGAAGTTTCTTAATGAATATTTTGAATTCGTCACTTATATCTGTAGGGTGGAATAATATAATTATCATAAATGTCACTTTTTTAAATTTGTATTTTTTTTATTTTAAAATAATATTTTTCTAATTTTGTTTTTCTTGTATGCTTACCAAGCACACCACAAGTCCAAAATAAGAAAAGAAGACAAAAAAGAAATATTGTATTCTTCTTCCCCAAATAGTGAAGTTAAAACCCCATATCTCTTCCTCTTCTTCTTCTTCTTCCCTGTTTTTCTCTCTCTTCATTTTTCAAATCAAACGAATAGTTTGATCTTTAAACCCCATCAATAATTTCCCTTAAACACCCAAAAATAGTCGCACAGAGAGTGTTTAATAAAGAAAAACTCTTCCTTTTTTGGTTATTGAATCAAGAATTGATTTTTTTTTTGTGTGTATGAATGGAGTCAGATAGCATTGAATGCATATCATCTTTAGATGGTATAGATGTGAATGAGATTGTACATTCTCAGTTGTTTTCTTCTTCAAAGACACCCCACAATAACAATAAGAATAAGAATAACAAAAATAATAACAGTGTCCGTCCAGCAACGAGTGTCCATGAGCTTCTTGAATGCCCTGTTTGTACTAATTCCATGTATCCTCCAATCCATCAGGTTTGTTTTCTCTGTTCCATTTATGTTTCTCATTTTGCAGTTACTTGAAGTAATATGCTGGTTTTTGTTTGGTTTGTTGCTATGATTGGTGTATAGATTCACTAATTTTCTATTTATAGACAATTTGGAGTTATGTGTGGTGGTCTCCCCTCAAAAAGCTAGCTTTTGGGGGTTAAGTAACTAAGTTAGGTCCAAATATCATATCTTTACATCGTATGATACACGAATAGTTTGGGCTCAAGGTGGGCTTAGGTGTGAAGGGGGAGTTAGAGTAGGTCAAAGTTACATATTGGTTGGGGAATGATTGGTGGTGTGCTTATATAGACTTGGACGATCATCCCCTCGTTAGCTAACTTTTGAGGTTGAGTTAAGCTGAGGTGCTATATCTTTATATTGTGTGAACCCGTTCAGATTAGCGATTAATGACTCCTTAAGCTATGCATTTTCCCTATTTTCAGGGGTGGGGGAATGTTTGGCTGGTGTGGTATGAATTTAGGGGAAGTGATGAATATGGTTGTTTGATTTCAGTTTATTGGAGCTTTATGCCACACATGTTCCATGAATTTGTTAGCTGTGGGAATCTTGAGCAATTGAGTGGATTAGCTTGAATTTCATTTGGTAAATGGGTTGCGTATGTTCTCTTGGTTTTGATTAGAGAGGTATCACGGACAAATTGTCAATTTTTTGATTTCTGAGTCAATGGAGTCATAATGCAGAATTTGTTTCTTGGTTTTCAGTCTGGTGTATTAATATCTTTGCTGGTCAGGCATCTGAGCTATTCTATGCTTTACTTTTTGCTTTAATTATTTGGTAATGGTCGTGTCCTGCCTAGTTGGCTTGCACCTCAACTATTCAGTCGAGCTACCTCCTGTAGCTCACAAATACAGTTGCTGTGTAAGTTTACTCACTGAGGCTGGAGCAGATGTGCTCATATGCTGTAGAGGGAATTTGAAACTATGATCCCTAGATATTTTCCTATTCTTAACCACTTAACCATCACCTTGAAGGAAGGGGAAAAAAGCCATCACCTTTGGGAACTTCCTTAATTGGGAGAATTAAATGAGTAAATCTTGTTTTTGGGATCGATAGTGGCTTTTGAAACATATTTTCTTTCTCTACGTTTCCCATGTTGCTCTCTTTTTGAATTCTCTAAACACTTGTGTAACTGTTCTGTTTTTTCCGAGTTCTTACTATGTCTGATCAACTTCTAGTGGCAAATGGCAACTCTTGTATTCTCAAATAGCATAAATAGTAGTCTTTGAGTTTTAAGTTTATGATGTTGGGGTTCTGAAGTCATACTTTAGTTTCGTTCATGAGGAAGTTATACTAGAAAATTATAGGTTTAAGCACTGAGGAGGTTAATTAGTATTCTGAACTGTGAGAGTGGTCACAGTTATATTGGTTCTCTTGTTTTCTAATGTTGGTGTCAGTATACGCATAACTGATCCCAATGCACAGCAATCTGAAGCATAGTAAACCTTTACTAGTGTCTATGAATCAGGGGTGGAGCCACGTGGGTGCAAGGGCGTTCACCCGAGCTAATTACATTGTATATACAAGGTTAAAAAATTCTACTTCATCAAAATAAAATAAAATATACAAGGTTAAAATTATTTCATCTAGATAGTAGATGTTGAATCTCCTTGACTTCCTCATGTGTTTACTTCTTTATATTTTGAATTCCCTTAGCGAAAATTCTGGCTCCGACACTGCTATGAATATACTGAAGCATTATGGTGTTATGGCTTCTTTTATTTGAGAGAAAGTTTATTATAAAACTGAAGCCATTTTTTCATTTGGCAAATTGTCGCTATCTCTCCTCAAATTACTGAATATTATGCCTCTTGTCTAGTATAAAGATAATACAGAAATGCTTCTTATTTTCGATTCAATTACAGAGACCCTATATTGTTGCTAACTGAAACTTTTGATATATTGCTATAATTGCCCTTACTCTATACTTGGTCACTACAAATTTGGTGAAGTACATTATACTTACCCTTAATTCGGTATCATTTTTACAATACTTGAAATACTTATAAATAATACATAAGTATTTTCTCTTATTGGTAGTAGATGTAAAAAAGCTAAGAAGCTAGAAATTAGAACTTTTGCTTCTAACCAACCAAGCAAAATCCAAACCAGAAAATGAAAAGCAAGAAACAGATGACACCTGCTATAAGAAGCTGAGCCAAGTTCCTCTACTTCTACTTGAATGTATTAACCAATTCTGATGTTTGACTCTCCATTTAATTTCAAAGCTGTTGATATACATTTGACCTTATTTAATAGGCTAGTTGCTAGCCATCAGTCAAGTGTAAATTCATAGTATTATCCTCGAAAGTCTAATAAAAATCCATAGTGATGTCTAATAGCTTCTCTAATGAGATCTGCATTTTTATTACATAGTGTCCTTGAATCATGAACTCTTAGTTATGAGATCAAATGCCGAAATTTTCAATCAATTCCTTTATCTTCTTCATTAGGCACTCTGCTATTCTACAATGCAGTACGCATGTTTAATGTCCTATGTGCTTTGTTTGTGACTGGCTCAAAATAGACACAGTGATAAAACTTAATGAATGCTAATAGTTAAAAGAATAGATCTCTCTGTAGAAGAACATTTATCATTAGTTCATGTTAGTTGTGACTGGTGCTGTGGTGGTTGATGGTGTTTAGGGCCTAAAGGATGTTCTTGAATGATTGTTTCTGTAATAACATTGTCATTCATCTTGATTAAACTCTGTATTTTTCTGGTTGTATACCAGTCTTTTTGGTTTAATGGATTAAAGCTGGGCCTTTTATTTCCAGTATGGTCATTTATTTTCATCTGAAGCAACTCAAAGAAATAAAAGGTAGGGAAAGTTGCTTTCAATAGGAGGTGGTTAAGATGAGGTAAAATAGAAGTAAGATCTCCCATTCTTGTTGTGTGATCGAAAGTTGTGGAGGACAGAGGTGAAAGAGTAAGAAATGAATCCTGTGATCCTTTTCTACTTTTGCTTCCCTTGCTGATACATAGCCGATTGGAAATATGATATGAGAATAAATATCACAATACTTAATGATACCAGGAACAAGTAGCTTTCTAAACTGAATACTAGTGCATGCCGCATTTACATAACTACCATTCACAAAATACAGATACTTAATTAGGTCTGCCAACGTGAATTTAATTATCCACAACTGGAAACTCTGAATTTAAGCAATGCTCTACTTGACTCATTTTTGTTCCAATGTAAATGAGCACTTAGTTGATATAATCTCCAATATTATTTTAAATATACCAAATCTAATTCATTGCGGAATGCTACTTAATGTGCCATTTTCCCCATGTTATATCTACAGTGTCACAATGGGCACACCATCTGCTCAACATGTAAAGAAAGGGTGCACAATCGATGTCCGACGTGTAGACAGGAGCTTGGTGATATTAGATGCTTAGCACTGGAAAAGGTGGCTGAATCACTTGAGCTCCCTTGCAAATATGGCTCTCTTGGCTGTCCTGAGATATTTCCTTATTACAGTAAGCTGAAACACGAGGCAATGTGTAATTTTAGACCTTACAACTGCCCGTATGCTGGTTCAGAGTGCTCAATTGTTGGTGATATTCCTTACTTGGTTGCTCATTTGCGAGATGATCACAAGGTAGACATGCATTCAGGTTGCACTTTTAACCATCGGTATGTCAAATCAAATCCCCGAGAAGTGGAAAATGCGACATGGATGTTAACGGTAAGTTGGATACAGTTGTTATGTTTTTAAATAAAAAAAAGCTTTGCGTTGCGTATGATTTTAACATGTCCTTCGTAAACAGTGCATCTGATACTTGATTAAGGCTCAAAATTTGGAAGATTTTGGATACTGATAATAGGCATCTACCATTTTGCTGTGTAATAAATGGCTCTCTTTGATTTGACAGAAGTTGTTTCCGTGATAAAATCATTTTTTGATGTTTAGTTGTTTTAAATTGACAAAAATGCTCAAATAAATGCTTTTCCACTAAAATCATTTTTTGATGTTTGGTCAGTTCTTCAATAAAACACTCTTTTCTTTCCAATTCTATGTTACTTGCTCTAACCAACATAGAACACACTATTTTCCATATTTGCTATGCACAATCATCATCAAACTGTATTAGTATATGGAGGTCGAGGATTAGGGTAGAAACTAGAGGGTTAGGAGCTAGTCAGGCGTTGTCTAGTTTCCTTATCCTTATTCCTCTCATAATATTTTATTATTACCTGTTGCCTCCTTTGCTTTAGTTATCGTATTACTTGTTGATACTGTTCTTTTCTCCATTATTTTGGGCACAATGACATTCATTACTGTATTTCCTTCAATACAGACAATACTGCATTTCTGTTTCAAACCTGCTTTGATATGTTTTACTTGAGGCGAATGTCTATCAGAAACAACCTCTCTACCTCACAAGATAGTGGTAAGGTTTGTGGGATTAGAATTGGTATGTTGTTGTTGTAATCATTATCAAACACCACCCATGTACTTTCTCCGATATTATTAGATCTCATTGATTATATATCCAGCCAAACAGCACTTTACTTATACAACAACTATGCCTTAGTCCCAAACAAGTTGGGTTGGCTATGAGTCCTCATTTTTCCATTTAAGCTCATATCATATTATCATAATACTAAATAAATTAAAAGTGACAAATAAGTAAAACATATAGGTAAATAATATAATAATAACAATATTAGAAGTTCTCTAGCAAGTCTAAAACCTATCCTCAACTAGTAGCTATCAACGTATCACCTATGTATCTTCTTCTTCCATTGTGTTCTATCTTTAGTTGAGTCTGCAACTCTGCATTGATTACCTCAAGTCCTCAACTATATATATATATATATAAACGAATAATATCCAGCCAAACATCAGTTTCCCTGTAATTTATAAAGGACATTTTACATTCCTACTAAATGGAAGCTTAGGTTTTACATCTTACCAAACAGTTAAGATGATCCTCTTGAGATCTATGAAATGGGCTTTGCCAGTTTGGAAGTAGATCATTGCTGGTACGACGCCTTTGTTAAGAGTATTTGGGTAACTTTCTCATGTTTTCTTCTAGTTTTTATCCTCTTAGAATTGTTTCTGATAAAGCCAAAGTACTCTAAAGCAAGATGGCGTAAAGCTCTGAGTTTTTTTTTCATGCGTATACCTCTTTTTTCAGGTTTTTAATTGTTTCGGTCAGTACTTCTGTCTCCATTTTGAAGCCTTTCAGCTTGGCGTGGCTCCTGTATACATGGCATTTCTTCGGTTTATGGGAGATGAGACAGATGCTCGAAACTACAGCTACAGCCTTGAAGTTGGAGGCAATGGAAGGAAACTTATCTGGGAGGGTACCCCCCGGAGCATAAGAGATAGTCATAGGAAAGTTAGGGATAGCCATGACGGGCTTATTATACAACGTAACATGGCACTTTTCTTCTCTGGAGGCGACAGAAAAGAGCTTAAGCTACGTGTTACTGGAAAAATATGGAAGGAACAGCAGAATCCAGATGGAGGAGCATGTATACCAAACCTATGTAGTTAATACTGGTTGTACCTCACAACTCGTGGATTCCATTTTTCTTCTCCGATTACTGGATACTGTCGTTAGCGTTTAGCATCGTCTTGATGTTGAAGATTCTTCTGTAAAACTATGGAACTTGTGTTTATTTATCAAGTAGTAATAAGCTTTTTGTTCTTGTGTTTGAATCTCTCTGGTCATGTGTGCTGCTGAGTTTCTGGCTTCATTTTGAGTCACAATTACAAAATTGTAACTCGACTCAACCGTTATTGTTGGCTTGTATGAGTCCACCATGAGTTAAGACACCAGATCCCTTCACAAAATTAGTAATAGAAGTGTTTAAGTAAATGCTTAAAGTAAATAACACAAATATTTACGCGAAAATTTCCTTGCTCAAGGGATTAAATACAAACTCGAATACTTACAAAGGATTAAACTTTTAATTCTACATACTTTGTAACTCTATTATTACAAGACACAACAATAATTCTATTGGAGTGGGGGAAGTCAAAGTAGGCGGTGCTGTGAGATAAAGAATATCTTTTTAATTACTATTAACTATATATATCTATGTGTTCCAACAGAAAACTCCACATATACACATATGTGGATGCCATGTGGCATACAATGGGTGTTTTTAAATTACTTGATCAAATAGAGAGGTATTTTTAAAGTTGTCAATAGTTAAAGGTCTAAAATAATAATTCACATCAAATTTAGAGATATTTTTAATACTTATCTCAAACTTAAAATGAAACCAAAAAAATTAACAACTTCTATAAAAACAAAAATAAAAAGTTTGAAGTAAAGAATGGGGGCTTCTCCACTCTTATAACAAAGAACAGAAATTTATACACATAAATATTTATTTATTATTTTAAACAAAAGTTTCTACTTCTTTAAATTCACGTCCAATCAAAATAAATCACAAAAATTAAAATAAAGAAAATACATACTCTAATAAGTTAACTGAGATTCGTACTATTACTCTTCTATATAACAAAGCAAAAAACAAACCAAAAAAGTGACAAGATCAAAGTATAATACACACATATTACTTTCTCTTAGAAAAAAAATTTGGAGTCACTCATGGGTGAAGGATTAAGAAGCAGATCATCAGGTTTAAAACCAATAGAAACAAAGAGGAAAGGGGGAATCGAAGAGTACGATATGGTGACCGTGGAAGACGAGCCATTGAGTCCAATGGCTCGTCTTTTCCAAGATAGGAAGTTCGATGTCCATGCCGTTGCGTTTATGGCTTTCAAAACTCGAATCTCACCACAGCCTGTGAAGGAAAAGTTGGTGCATACTTTGCTTAAGCATCCTCGTTTCACTAGCTTGATGGTATGTCCTTTTTTTTTTTGCATGTTCCGTTTACGTAAGATGTAATTGGTTCTTGGATGTGCATGACAGAGTCAGAATTTTCGTCAAAACATAAAAAAATTCCTCAAAATATAAAAATGTACTTAGAGAGCATGTCACCGAAGAAGGATCTAGGAGCTTAATATTATACTTGTGAACGTACTAGGTGAAAAATTTAGAAATAACTAAAATTTCAGTGACTTTCACGTACATATATCTAGATTATCGTGTCAAAATTATTGGTTCAACTGAATCCACCATTTGGTGAACCTAGTAGCTTTTCCGTAGACTCTGTATTTCTGAACCCCTAACAAATTGATTGACGGTTCTAAAGGAAATTTTGAACCCTAAACTCTTTATCCTGGCTCTGCCTTTGTATATGCAGTAAGTTTTTTTTTTTCTTTCAATTATCAACATGGATTTTTCCTTCGTAAAAAACAAAGAAGAAGAAATGGCTCTAATTTAGCTTATCCTGCCTTATCCATCCACCGGTGGAATCAGAAATTTAACGAAGAATGTGCAAAATTTTCTTTCAGTTGTGTTAAAAGTGAGCAAAATTAAATAAATATTCATAATAATATAATTTTGAAATGCCTGTTTTACGCTTAATGAAATAAACTATGACACATTTCAAAAGTCTTTTTCTTTTTTCTTAAACTCTATGCCGAGTCAAACTAAGTCGTATAAATTGGGATAAAGAAAGTAACATTTGAGTTCTATACACCACATAATTTTCCAGCAAAAAATGTGTACCTGACTACTCTTAGCCTAAAGTACTCTGCCCATGATCCTACTATATTTTTAGGGATCGTTTGGTGTGGGAATAAGAATATATAGTTCTGGGATAAAAAAATAGTCCTGGAATAAAAAAATAGTCTTGGGATAAAAGTTTGGTGTCTTGTTTGATTGACATATTTGGGATTACTTATCCCATCATTTATACCATAGTGATGAAATAAGTTATCTCATATATAGGGTGTGATAAGTTATCCTAGGATAACTAATCCCAGGATAATTAATTCTGGGATAACTAGTTTCCAACCAAACGACAGAAAAGTTTTACTATCATCGGCCAATTATTAATTCCATTCCCATATTAGTTTTTTTCAGAAGCTAATATAACACTATTTATTTTTATAATTAATAACTACAAATCTCGATATATGAGAACATTACTAGGACCAACTCTTACCTAACGAATATTAAAGAGGGATGACGAACTTTACCTAGTGTTGTTAGGTTAGGTATAGGGAAAATAGATAAAATTGAAAAGAGTCAATAATTATTAATTACACTTCATTTTAGTCAAAAATGTGTAAGCCGTATTAATGATACTTAGTAGAGGTGGGGTCGGTTGGTTCGGTTTTATGTATTATCGGTTTGGTTTATTGGTTATTTTTAAATACACTAAACCAATAACAAATCAATAAGATATTCTTTATCGGTTTTTGATTTATCAATTTTTGGTCATTAACGGTTCGATTTTCGGTTCACCCAATAAGAAAATGCTCATACAATAAATATATGGTTTTTTACTTCTCTAATAATTTGGCGTGATAGAGTGAGACAAACAAATCAGCTGTAAATACTTTGATATAGTAAAACAAGAAATATAATGAAAAGTTACATCAATAAGAGTAGATGTCAGTACGAAGACTACAATTAATTGTTACAACCAAAACATCTATGAAATTTCTGATGTGATGTAAAGTAGAAGTACTGTGACGTGTGTAGTGTAGAAAACTGATATAGTGTCTAGTTATATTAAATTATTAATATCTAATATTTATGAAGGATATAGTAGTAAATTACTATCGTCTTAATGAGTTATCAGTCTACCAATAACCCAATACTAAAATCGATACCAAACTGATAACCCAATAATTTTTCTTTTATAAAACCATTAAAAACCTGTCAATCCAATAACCTAATAGCAATAACCCAATAACATTTTTTCCCATGCGATTTATTAATCGATTCAATTTTTACACACCTCTAATAATTGGTACTCTAAAAATGTGAGCTTTTAGACCCATAAATGAGTCCCATGCGGTAGTTGGTAGATGAAGAGAAAGATGCATGATACCGTGTGATGTGCCTAGCAATATTCCAACTACTTGTTCCGTTCATATTTAATTTGACACATTTTTTTAATAAATAATAAAAAAATAATTTTATTAAATCACTCTTGTTAATTATATAAGTTAGAGAAAAGACATAAAGTTACTGAAGTTGTTCCAAATTTTAAAAAAGACAAATTAATTTTACGGATATTCTATTACCCTCATAAATGTATTGAATATGTTTGTAAAAGGACCATTTTGAGCCATATTCTCAGTTGGTAAGACACGTGTGAGTATCACATGGTATTGAATATTTTCTTTTCTTTTCTTTTCCATTTCTTAGCTTTCCATGTCTCTTCAATTTCTTGGTCAAGTGCTAGTGAAGTGGAGATCATTTGCTTCATTTTTGATGACTCTTCGTCAAAATTCTCGGAGGAATAGCTAAGTAAGGAATTGAAGGTTAACAAGTTAATATTTTTTTACATTATTCGAAAAAGATTATATTTTAAGAAGAAATTAAACCTTATCACAAAAATATCTTGATTTCTCAAAACTAAATGAAATTAAGAAGAAATTAAACCTTAACAATTTCAAATTAAGTTTTTTCGACTGGAAATTAAAAGCGAATAGTTTTTGGGGGAAGATGATGAATTCATCAGAGAGAGTTCCAACGACTCTTTTGAGCTTGTTTTGAGGAAGATGATGAATTTAAATAAAGTAAATAATTAATAAAAAAAAGAACTGAAACGAGACACCTTTTAATTGGTTTTTATCACAAAAAAGACATTCACGCGTGTGTTGTCCGTGTTCACAAATCAGGTGAAAAAGTAGGTCAACTTGGTCCTTTTACAAAAATATTCAATACTTTTGTAGGGTAATAAGACGCCCGCAAAGTTAAGATGTCTTTTCAAAAATCTGGAACAACTTCAGTGGTGACTTTATATCTTTTCTCTATAAGTTATTTAAATGTTGAAAAATAAATATAGTATTCATAGTAAGAGCAAAATAGACATACAATAGTAAAGTATCTATTAGTTTTCTAAACTGGACAAAAAAAGTTGGATAACTAGTTTTACAGTCTGGACAAGTAAAGATGGATAATACTTTCTTATGACAATATTAATTGCGTATTTATTTTACGGAATTATCTTTATTTAAGGAGAACCATGACACATGACTGGTAACGTTGCTTTAACATGATTAGAAGATCGCATGTTTGAGATGTAAAACAATCTCTTATAGAAATACATGATAAAATTATATACAATAGACCCTTATGGTCTGATCCTTTTTCAAAATCCACGTATAACAAAAATTTAGTGCATCAGGTTACCCTTTATTGTTTCTGTTAATAAAATTTTTGAAAAATTCAATTTGATTATTAGTACTTCAATTCATTGGGAAAATAAATATTTGATAATAATAATTAAAAAAATTAAAATTCTGTCAAAATAGACTAGTAAAAATAGATTAAAAAAGATAACTTACTTTTAGTATATTGAAGAAACAAAATGAAATAAAGGAAGCATACATTACACTAGTCTTGTAAAAAAATTCTTACATTATTAGGTCTAGACTCTAGTTATAGTCAAATTTATGTGTAATTATATTTTATTATATATAATAAAATAATAATCTATTTTCTTTTTTAAAAAACGAGAGTATGTTTAGTTACGGAAAGGAAACTAGACGAGAGTATGTTTAGTTACGGAAAGGAAACTAGATCTCTCTAGACACAAAAAGATTAA